CGCTAGTGCAGAGAGCAGAATATGATACTCGCAAGGGCGATCGGGTTGTGAGCAACTGGTGAGCAGCCCCATTTCTCAAAAATCCCTCAACACCGTATCACATACCTTGCTTAGTCAGGGTAAATCAATTGATTGGAATGATTTGTCCAAACGCTTTTAATTGATTTGAGCAGTGGTGTTATCGGGATGTTCATTATGAGGAGTACCACAGGGATACGATATCCGCTTCTGTACTTTATTCTCATTACCACTTTCTCGGCTTTTTTATTTTCTACGGTTCTTCTTGTTTATGTTTATGTCAACGTTTTTTCTTTACGTTGTTTTATGATATTCGCTGAAGTTTGCGAATGATTCAGTGATGATAATGTGAAAATTTTGTAGGTAAACGAAGGGTGACGGTCGGAGAGAGGACGTTTGAAGATGATGCGATTACCGTGTATTTGTGAGGTGTTGTTAATTGTGCTGTGCTTACAACTGTTTGTGGACGTTAACATGATTGCTTCTGGTCAGCAATATGTACACAGATTAAATTTAATCAGAACGCCTGTTCAGGNTTGAAATCTCACAGATAATCTATCTAACATAGAGTTGCGAGTCGAATCTCATAAATCGAATACACTCTCAATATTCTCTCTGTGTGATATTTGTTTGTTGAATTCTCGACATCATTTCAAAATATTTTACTACTGACAAATTGGTTACCGATTACTGTGGACAAAGTATGTGATTTCAGATCAAACAACCTCAGCAATATCAGCAAAAGTATGCAAAAGTAATGAAATCGAATAACAACAACGTAATGCATAGCTATTCGCCGAGGTTCCCATCTGCAATGCTGCAGCAAAAACCTTACGGTGGTCAGTCACGCATCACTCAAACAATATCCTACTCGAACAACCCGTTTGCGATTATCAGAGGACTGAATTCAGCCACTCTACACCCTGGTAAACATCAACTTCTTCTTTTCTTCAATAGTAATTGATGGCTCTTCATAGCACTTGAAGGTGGTACTATGCAATGCGACACTGCTCATTCGAATCCTCAGCTCACTGTAAACGAGCCTTAGTCAGAACCTGATTGACATCAAAGTGAATTTCAGCCAGCTCGGCCCTAAACCCAATCAAACCTCGGTTAATGACTGAATATGGACCTGTAGAAATCCATTTTCTGGAAATTATGCCTCATTCNACACTGCTCATTCGAATCCTCAGCTCACTGTAAACGAGCCTTAGTCAGAACCTGATTGACGTCTAAGTGAATTTCAGCCAGCTCGGCCCTAAACCCAATCAAACCTCAGTTAATGACTGAATGATCTGTAGAAATCCATTATCTGGAAATTATGCCTCATTCAATCCCTGATGTGAAAAATCATTCTACTTATCCATGAAACATCCATGCTTTATCTTAAGAAGTCATCAAACATGCAGCATGCCCATAGCTTGAAACCAATGAATTGGATCTCCAGTGATCAATTGTTAACGCTAATCTGTCCAGAATGGTTTGCAGTCAGAACGTTTAATTTCTTAAGAAACTCCTCAACTGAATTTGATTATTGAAAACATTTTGAGGATCAATGGAACCGTACGCTGCACCTGGAACGATTCGGTTATACAGTATGCGATTTTGTCCGTATGCTGAGAGGGCGATTATTTATGTGGCAAAGAAAGGACTTCCGTAAGTAAAATTACGCTTGGATATTTTCGTAAAATGATTTCTCACTTTTCAAGAATCACTGTTTACTGAGTAATTCGAAAATCAGATTTGTGTTTAAGCATTACGTTTCCATTATTCTCATCATATGAAATGAAATCAGACTTTTTCCGAAGCATTCATAATCAGTCGCAATAATAACATAATGCGTCTAATTCGCTCAATTAAACTATCACATTGAAACTTGCGGAGAACTTCCGAGTAGTTCTTTTTACAGTTAACCT